CGTAATAACTTCACGTAATAAATTCCATTATATGAACCTTATTAGGTTGTCTCATAAGTAGTGTCGCTTTTTTTCAACCAAAAAATTTTCATCTAAATCCTCCATGCTTTTACATCGTTCATATACCATTCGAAAGAGAATTGTCTGCTCTACAAGATGCTGTGTTCCTCTTCCACCTCGTTCCAGGGTTTTCAAATTTTAGGCCTGCGAAATGGGAGGTCCAGCCGACAAAAATTGACCAAACCGACAACTATCTCTAACTTTATCTTCCCTTGGGAGAAATCAATCAATGATGTACCCTCTACTTATGCATGACCTCTTCTAACATTACACTATTAGGTTTCCCAACAAGTCGCGTCATTCCATTTCCAGACCTGGTTTTTCAACCAGAACTCGACGGTCAAGCACCATTACCTGAGATCTAGGTCAAAATTTTTTTATAGCCGAGACACTGAAAAACTGGTAGAATATAAGAACAAGTCATGACTATGTTAGGAATGTACGCCTGGTTGATTTTCTCATCTTCTCAGGAATAATTTTTTTCAAAGAAATGCGGTCACTTTCGTGGATAAAGCACCTTACTCCTAAACACCTAAAATTCGAGCTAATTCCTAACAAACATCAAAACAAAACAAATGAGCGAATAGAGCAGAAGAAGTGCTCACAAAAGATACACCAGTTGATATAAAACAATAGCGTTTCAGAGGAAGAATTTCAATTTGAAAATTGCCATGGCTTATCGGTCGGCCAATTCGAAAAGAAACAGGGCAAACCTTTTTCGGCAACCTAAGGGTGGAATGTTCAGAAGAGGTCATGAGTAAGTAGAGGGTACATCATTGATTGATTTCTCCGCAGGGAAAATAAAGTTAGAGCTAGTTGTCGGTTTGGTCAATTTTTGTCGGCGGGACCTCCCATTTCGCAGGCCTAAAATTTGAAAACCCTGGAAACAGAGTGGAAGTGGAACACAGCATTTTGTAGAGCAGACAATTCTCTTTCGAATGGTATATAACACGACGTGAAAAAGTATGGAGGTTTAGATGAAAATTTTTTGGTTGAAAAAAAGCGACATCATTTATGAGACAACCTAATATTATCGCGATCCTCTCTACACATTCACTATTGGGGTTGTGTTCAAAAAAACGCAAGTTATACATTTTTCCTGTCCCAGAATTTGGCTTTTGGGACCGATCGCTAGGCAAAGAAAGTTTTTTTTTTGAAACCCCAACAAATTTTTCCCCTTCAGAATCAGCTACGCTTGGCACCAAATCCGTACAACTTTCGGAAGACCTTCTGCCGCGCTTTTTGGTTTGTGTAAGATTTTTTGCTTTCGCCATTAAGTAGGGCAATGTCTGGGCCTACGTCATAAGGCTCTTCAGTCAAGTGGAAATGACTTAAAGGAATCTGAGCGAATTAAAGGATCTGAAAAAGCTCCGCCTCCATTACCACAGAAAACGATACCCCTGAGGCCCCTAGCCTCATGAGCATAGCAAAAAGAACGGAACATAAGCGTTAGTTCCGATAATACTAATCCTACACACAAGACAAATTGATCGCTCTCTCCGTGGAGGATTTCAATAGGTCAAGAAAACAACTGTACTAACGATAAGAGAGACAAAATCAGTGAGTACTGCATTTATTGTACTTGCTGTAATTAAAAAAGAAATATTAGCTTGAGACATTATACCGTAACATCCATACCTTGTCTTGTTTGCCAAGAGACCTTGTGGTCCGATGACGTTTGTAAAGATATGCTTGGCAACGTGAGCATCCACTGCCGATAGTGGATCGTCAAGAAGATACACATCGCGATCCTGGTAAACTGCTCGAGCCAATGCAACTCGAGCTTTTTGACCACCAGGAAAGATTTATGCCCTGGAAGAGCATAAAGAGAGAGCATTGTCAAGGAGAGGAGTCAAGAAAAGAGTCTTGAGGATCTAGAAGATTTTGGGAAATCGCAAACCTTCTCTCCGATTTCCGTTTGGTCACCATTGGACAACTGCGCCAGATCTGCTCGCAACGCGCATGCCTTGAAAGCAAAATGATCAACAACTGTTGAAACTTCCTATCAAGAAGAAATGTCCAGGCGCTATCGCAAGATAAGGGGGCAGCCTCTGACGTTGAACCTATGAGGAGGTACGAACCTCGTCGAATTTAAATTCTCACGCACACTCCAGAGCCTTTTCTCCTCCGCTCAGTGATTAGCACCGTTTCTCACGAAAAAAAAATTGCAAGTGTATCTTGCGATAGCGCCGCCTCATTCGTCAAGACGTGGTTTTTCTATGAAATACGCCTTTACCCAGAGACAGTGCCTTCATTGGTCTCAGGAAACCTTACCTCAATCACTTCCTCATAGAATGCTTTGTCGAAAGGCTTTTCCATGATAATGTTGTCTCTGAGAGTGCTGTTGCGTATCCATGGCAGTTGCGGGAACGTAGGCTACCATACCGCGGCGCCCCACATACCCATACAGTTTTTCCATCTCTCCTGAATCACTCAATTAGTGTTAGTGTGGTACAGCATATCAGAACTGCTGTGGTAATCAGGCGCTCATATCATTGGAGGGACACATTGTATGAGTGAGCTACTCACAGATGGGGTCAAGCCATGGGACGAGAAGGGATCTGGGGAGGACGTACACGTGTTCTCCCTGGCGATTCCCCTCTCTCCTGGGTTTGGTCCAAACTTTGTAAGTGGCTCACTCACTCTAATGCCCTCCTAATGACACGAGCGCCGCCTCTGTTGGACATGGGCTGTGACATACTGAGGTTTCAGAAAATGATATCCTTGAAGTTTCGGTACTCACCTAACAGAGCTAAGAGTAGACTGGATTTACCAGCTCCCACAGTACCAACGACCGCAAGTAGTTTTCCTCTTCCTACCTGAAATCAGTGGAAACGTCTAGAATTTTGAAAAAAAAACACGAACTTCGTATGACACTTCATTTCACACAACATTTCATTCCGACCAATTTGCCTACTTTTTGAATTTCCACCAAAATTATCAGAAAACCCTCCAAAACCACCCCCTCTCCCGCCACCACACCGAAATTACCAGAAAACCCAACAAAAACCACCCCTCTTCCTCCACCACAATCTGTCCGACTTCCAGAAGCATGACTGTTATTTTTGCTCCCATTTAAGCTTCAGCAACCCCTAATACGCCCTCCTCCCACTCCGAAAAAATGGAGTACGACCCCTTCCCCTCGTTGAGAATTGCGCAACGGACAGTTGGCCCTGTTTGGATGTCACATCTGCGGTCAGGAAGGAGGTTACGGTATATACCATGACTTTAAATCATGGATGAACTCTTTAGAGGAAAGTTTCTCATATTGGCGTAAGGTTCAGGCGTATACCTTCATTAGAATCTCGAGCTGTGGCGCTTACGTCTCAGACCCACTGCGAACGAGGCCCTGCAGAATTCCGTCGCTCTGTGGTAATCTGAAATGCATTTAAGAAGAAACAAAAATACACTTTCTTACTAATCAGATTTTCTCTCACATTCATCATTTTCTACGATATCGATCGCTGTCCCTGACAGCTCCTCGGCGACCAAGAATTCCTTCAGACGTCTATTCGACACGACAACCTCAAATGCTTCTCTATGTGAAACTTCTTCAGGGATCTGTTCAGAGAGTTCATACCTGGACAGTTTGTGAGATGAGATCAGCGGCCATCATCAGTGGACCTCGCAACTGATTGAAAAGTGTGAGCGAAACAAAGGCGATTTGTGGAGTAAGAACATGGTCGGGTGCAGTGAGAGTGTAGGTAGCGAATGTTGTCAGAGCCACCTGAACAAGATACTTTCACAAAGACGCAGTGTGTCGATTGATAGTGCAGAATCATCATCACTCGTCGAGTGTTCTGGCAGGGTCCATCCGTACCTTCCAGGTTTTTTATAGAGATTTTGCAATTCCTTTAAGGGAGTTCTCATGACTCAGTGCAACCCCACTAATTCATTAGGTTATGGGCTCCCCAATACGCCACGCGGAGATACCCTCCTCTACCCGCCCCGATTTTGAGACACTTTGACGCACATCAAACCTCAGCACACTGTCCCCTCAACAGTCGCGGAAGTAGGTAAGTTGGAGAGGGTAAAGTTGGTATAAACGAGGAAGTCATCGACTTTGTCCAATTCACCGCTACTTTCGGCGAACCTCGCCCGGAATAGTTACAAAAAGAAACCAGTCAACCCTCTCGGTTTTTTTCATGAAAGATAACTTTGATGGACCCTATAATACGACCCGCTGTTCGAGTGGTTCGAAAAACGACAGATTGTTTGGTCGCGTATGTGTATGTGTGTAATCTCATAAATAGAGGAAAAACGAAGGAAATATGCATTAATTGACAAGGCGACCTCTTGAGGTGCCGACAGAGGCGCAGTTTCAGCGAAGGATTACCTCGCGATTCGCGCATGGTCAGTCTGGCGGCGTGCGGATAACGCCCATCACTTATTCTAACCACGTCGCCCACAGTCTATACGGGCGAGTGATTAATAGAAGAGAGAGTCGTAAGTATTGAAGTAGCATCACCCGAGGAGTTTCAATACGTGAAATAATGGCAAAGAAGGGGTCTCATTTCTCAGGTTCCGGGTCGTTTCACATGGTTTCTTCCTCATCTATGCTCCTCTGACCACCTCTACCCTTACTTCCAATGAGCTAACTTTCCATCGTAAATTCTGCCTCAAGCCAGAGCTCTAAGGAGCTTCTTAACATATCATCGTTACGGATTAGTGAGGTTCATACAGGCAATTCCAAGACGTCTCGCACCGATAAGGCTCTGAAAAGAGGAGTTCGTAATTTCCAGTGGTATAGTTAGTCTAGTTATAGTGCGTATATACCTTCCATTGAGATATCTCGAAGCTGTGGCGGTTCGTCACGATCCCAAGCGAACGAGGCCCCTGAGAATTCTGCCGCATCGTGGTAATCTGAAAATGCATCAGTAAGAGGGGAACGCAGAAGCCACATTTCCAGATTTTCTCTCACATTCATCATTTTCTACTATATCGATCGCTGTCCCTGACAGCTCCTCGGCGACCAAAGAATTCCTTCAGACGTCTGTTCGACACGACAACCTCAAATGCTTCTCTATGGAACTTCTTCAGGATCTGTTCAGAGAGTTCTTATACCTGGACAGTTTGTGAGATGAGATCAGCGGCCATCATCAGTGGACCTCGCAACTGATTGAAAAGTGTGAGCGAAACAAAGGCGATTTGTGGAGTAAGAACATGGTCGGGTGCAGTGAGAGTGTAGGTGGGCGAATGTTGTCAGTAGCCACCTGAACAAGCACATCTAAGAAATGGAGTGAGCTATCAAATCAGTAGAACACATTTCGTTCCAAGGTTTCTCGGGTTTTATGGTACTGCTCGGGCAGGAGGTTCCATAGGAACTCATCCATTCGGCATCGAGTTCCGAATAAGAGGAGTGCAGAAAGGGAACTCAAGGTGTTGCCTCTGAACAATGTGCCCTGGGGGGGGGGAAGTCGTATTGCCACCAACGATCGCAGCGGAATATCCCCAAGCTCCCAGAGAAAATCAAGCTCCTCTACATCGAGCTAGGCTCTCTGCGTAACACTGTTAACGGAACTGCTGTAGCAGAGTGCATGGCAAGGCAGATACTCTCTGCTTTCGAAAATCAGACACGCGTCGAGCGCAGACCACACAACCCAAGTGACGACGATTTGGTAATTAGCCATCCATAGTGATAGCTAATGTTGGTAAATGGTAGTGGTGATTAGTGACATTGAAAGAATACAGCTATGACCGACTACCCGTTTCATTGGCAGAAGGGTTTACATTTTGTTGAGGCTGTCGTCATTTGTGTTGTGTGGTCTGCACTCGACGAGCATCGTTTTCGGAACAGGGTATGCAAGGAGATAGTTAGAATGTGAACTGCGCACCCTTATCCCGATAGCTTCAAATGAGCTTCTGCACAAAAAAATGCAAGTGTAAAAAAGAAAACCGGAAAATGGAAAAAAATGAATTCTGAAAACGCAAGAAGCCGTACCACAAATGGAGCGGAGATGTTCAACATATCGGCTAGGGTTTTGACGATTCCGGCTTTTCGCCCAGAGACATTTCCTTTACTCGAATTTCGTCAACGACTGCCTCCATTGCCCGGCTCCCAGGCATATATAGTTTTACTACCTGTGGAAATATAAACATTTATTGGAGTTATTTTCTGAAAGGAACATGGTGCAGTGAAATAGGGTCGTAATCGAGTTTTCGGATGGCGTGGGGGTCGTACTTAGGGTTATGAAGGTCAAAGGTGGGAGGAAGGGTGTATATCTAGATGTAGACGGGGTCGTGCTAGCACTGGGGAAGGCCGCTTCAGACGGGTTGTTTCGAGTAAAAATTGGAAAAATAGGCATGAAGTGGGCAAATTTATGTGATTGCTGTTTCTTTCAGACAAGACTTCCCCCCCCTGCCCTCCCCCAGCCTTCAGCCTCCATCGACTCCACACCTCCCTCTCCCACTTCCCCCACTTCTACGGCGGCCATTTTGGAAGTACTAAATTAGGGCGGAGTTGGAGTGCTGTGGCAAATGGCCACTGAACCGACTATAGAAACAGCCATGATGGTACAGGTGGTGGTTGGGGGTCGGGAATGTGGAGCGGGGGTGTATGCGAGGTAACCTCTGCCCCCCAAAGGGGATAATCAAATCTGGAATGAACAACGGATGGATGCCCTGTTCAGGATTTCTAAGTAGATGAGATCATGGCCAAGGAATCTGGGAGGGATGGAAACCTCGACGAGGGTTACGCCAACCTTAATTTTAGCCACTAGGAGATATTAATAAGGTGGCCAACCACCTGAAACGAGCTTTCCAGGTATGGGCGTCTGACTCATTCCCTGCGAAACCCTTGCCAAGTTGAGAGATTTGAAATTCAGCAGTGATACCAAATTTCAGGTTCGGAAATTATTTCCTGTGCATTTTTGACTTCGAAGAGGTCTTTTGTCAACAAGTGAAGAAGTTGGGCGCTATAGCAAGGTAAGAGGGGCATCCTCTAAGCTCAGCCGTAGGGGCAAAAATTCCGGGGAAAATGAGAACGGCTGCGCGCACGCCTGAGTTTTCCTCCCTGAAGTAAGGTTTGTTGGCTGAACAAAGATGGTTCACGCCGTTCGCACTGCCACCACAATGCCCCTGCCCCCGTGTCTTGCGATAGCGCCGAATTGCTTAATACCTACTCGATTGTTGGAGAGCCTTACCTTAATTCCATAAAACTTCGTTAGTTATTCGAATACGCTCATCTTTGAGTTGCATCTGCTGCACAGTCCATCGTTTCGAAATCAGTGACATGCATATGTTGAAAGGATCAGCGAACGACCTATACAGTCCCACGGAATTCAGAAGCTGACAAATAAACAAATAAATTATATTATTTATATGTTATTTTTTCATTTGTGTACTCATAAGAGTGCACCAATATTTTTGCATAAAAAACGAAGTAAAAGAAAGCAAAAGTGAGAAATGAAATCAGTATCACCTGTATCACCTGTCGTCCCGTTGATCATCGAATTGCTCGAGCGGGCGCCAGCAACGTCTCCATTCGTCCCTGTCGCGTGCAAGAGTTGTCCAGTGGACCCTCCTCGCTCGAGGGACACGATGTCCTTCATTCCTTTCGTTCAGAGCTTTCGTGAAGAAGTCTGACCATCGGGCCGGCGGTCGTCCAGGTGTTCGTTTGACGTCCCGAGGGATCCAGTCGGTAACCGCTCTGGTCCAACGGTCATCGCAAAATCGCATGACGTGTCCGGCCCACCTTATCTTCGATTCCTTGGCGAAAACGGCAGCGTCCCTGATCTTCGATCGTTGGCGTAGTTCGGCACTCCGGATTCCCCTCTGCACTTGCGTGTATAGGGTTACTCCTAGCATCGTCCTCTCGACAGCGCGTTGGATAACGCTGACCGCATGCTCGTCCTGCCTGCGCAGAGTCCAAGTCTCTGAGGCGTAGGTTAGGGCAGGAAGGACAGCGGAATCGAAGAGGTGGGCACGGAGCCGGATGTTCTTCGTCTTCTTCACTACTCCCTCGATGTTCTTATACGCTCCCCAAGCCGCTCGTTTCCTCCTGCTCAGCTCTGGAGCTAGATCGTTCATCATATTGATTTCCCGACCTAGGTACACGTAGCTGGAGCATTCGGTGATGTTCGTTCCGTTGAGCGTGAATGGGGCATCAGGAACCAATCCGTTTCTCATAAACATCGTCTTCGTTAGGTTCAGCTGTAGACCAACCTTACCACAGGCGCAGTCGAAATCAGCCAGCATTCGCTCCGCTTGCTCGATGTTCGGCGTTATAAGAACGATGTCGTCAGCAAAACGAAGGTGGTGTAGTTGCCGGCCGTCGACCTTCACTCCCATGTCTTCCCATTCCAGTTGACGCATGACGTTCTCGAGAGCGGCGCTGAAGAGTTTGGGCGAGATGGTGTCGCCCTGTCGAACCCCTCTCTTGACGTCGATGATGACCTCCTTGTAGAATGGTGAGATTCTGGTCGTAAAGTTGCTGTAGAGCTCACGAAGAATCTTGATGTACTGAGTAGGGACGCCCTGGTTGCCCAAGGCTTCGATGACCGCTTCTGTCTCCACAGAGTCGAAGGCCTTCTTCAAGTCGATGAACGTGAGACAAAGCGGCATCTTGTACTCTCGTGAAACTTCAATGAGTCTTGTAACCGTGTGGATATGGGTCGATCGTGCTGAACCCTCTTCGGAACCCTGCTTGCTCGCATGGCTGTCCTTCATCTAGTATTCTGCCGATCCTGTTAAGGATGACTCGAGTGAATAGCTTGTAGATTACAGACAGCAGGCAGATTGGGCGATAGTTGCCAATGTCGTCCAGGTCTCCCTTCTTGTACAGCAACACGGTCCTGCTGGTTTTCCACGGAGTGGGTACCTTGCATTCCGACAGGTAGCGCGTGAAGAGTCGAGCCAGAGTTTTGATGATGAACTGGCGGCGCATTCTTCAGATGTTCCGGTTTGACCCTGTCGAGACCGGGTGCTGTACGATTCTTCACCGACTTGATGGCGTGTCGGACTTCGGAAGAGAGAACTGAGGGGACGACGTATCCATCCTGTTGCAGTTGATAAGTGGGCAGATGGACATGGCTATCGAAGAGATCCGAGTAGAAGTCGTGGATGACTTTCTCCATTGCCCTTCGGGATGCAGTAACTGTTCCATCCGGACGTCGGAGGCAGGTCATCTTGGTCTTGTAGCTGGCAAAGCTTCGGCGGGCATTGCGGATGCTCCTCCCAGCCTCTGCTGCTTCAGCTAATACTGCTGCTCTTCGCTCCTTGAGATCTTCCTTTATCGCCTCTCTGCATAGCTTCGCAAGCTCGCGAGGTAACAGCAGAAATCAGCTATCAAATCAAAAAATAGTAGAGGTGAAATGTGAAGAATATTGATCAGTCAATCAATCGATAATAAATAAATTTGAAGCTTTATTCTATCAATTTCTTCGGTAAATATTGCGTATGTTACCATCACTACAAATCCAGCAAACTGCAACTCCGACTGTTTGCCATAACAGAAACATGCAGATTACAATCTCTGAAAAATCAGCTGTTATTCCAATTTATTTTATAATAAAAATTTCGTAAAAAAATCTTGACGCTTAAAGATCTACAACAGAGTAGGCGGGACAGATTAGCGTTGTGGATGCTGCCTTAGGTCCGTGAAGAAGACGCAAATTGGGACCCCCTTGTTTGACCCTTGATTTTCGCTCAGGAATGGGCAACGACTAAGGCGGCGGAGGTGTGGGCGAGTTCGCTGCTATGCTCTTGGAGGCACCGTCCCGAATATTATGCTCAAGTCAAGTTGGTCTGATTGAGCGCTGATGACGGAACAGCTCGCTCGTAGTGGGCGGAGCGCCTAAAGGGCGGGGCGCTTTCGAAGTACCACTCAGCAACAAAGACACCTCTCGTCGTGAAAGCGCTAAGTCTCTCGCTTCTTTGGCAGCCAAGCTACTGCACCGTATGGCGCATTCACTTCTCCGAGACGCACCCTCTTTATCGCATTCGCTGCCTTTAAGTTCAGCTACAAAAATCGAGGTTGGACAAACGTTACTCCCAAAGCTAAATGTGAACCTGTAAAGGACTGCTCCAGTACTGCTGCAACTGCGGTGTGATGAGCCGAAATCGGTCGACATCAATCGCCATCAAATTCACGATTTCACCAT